GCTGGTACCAGCTCTTTTTTTTTAATTAAACTTTTGAGTTTTTTAATTGTTTAGATGTGGAGTTTAATTGTTTGCCTGTCTTGTATAGTATAGCAAAGTAGAAGTCATTATTGAAATAGACAAGCACTATATTTATGTAAAACCACAAAACAATCAAATAGTGCTTAACCTGCAAAGCTGAGGCATTTAATTCAAAGCCAATCCTCCACTGTTCTTGCCTAAACTTTCAAGATCCTGCTTCTGTTGAAGTGAATGTCATACTTTCACAAATTTAAAGGAGGGTGCAGATGGGCCCTACTTACGTGCCTTTTGTTTCTAGCCCGGTTGTAGCCATTGTAACAGGCACTTTGTACTTCTACAGCATCTTACCTAAAACTCAGATCTCTGGTACTGTTGTCACTAACACCTGTGCAGAAGACTGAACAGAGGGATTGATCCTGTCCCATCCCTCCCCATTTCAACAGTAACCTAGTCACTGTATTGTTAACAGGCTATTTATTAATGATAGGGGAAGTTGTTTGGAAGGACTTATTTTCATTAGTCTCTGTTTTCTTTTAAATCTTCTTCCTCTTGAAGTGAATATGGTTTGAATTTGCTGGTATTTTACTGAAAACAATTTAATTGTAAAACTGTCTTCCAGGCCAATAGCAGGATATGCCAACTTGTGTCCAAATATGATTTCAACGCAAGCTCAGGAATTTGTTGGCATGTTGTCTACAGTGAAACATGAGATTATCCATGCACTGGTAAGGGTTGATGTTATAAAATGTGTTTCCCTGAAATCTGTGCCTGCTTCCTCACATGCCTCCAGCTTGTTGCAAGAGAAGGATGTTTGGTGGAGGAAAGCTCTTGCTTTGCCTCCTTCAATTTGTGTGATAATTGCCTCGAGGTGTGGTACTTCCACTGTATCTGCTGTGGGAGTGGTAACTCTTTCATGGCATTTGACCTTGTATGTCAATGTCTTACTAAAGGTTTCTGTGTGCTTGGTTTTTCACTTGAAGGGTTTCTCTGCTGGACTGTTTGCATTTTATCGTGACGATGATGGAAAACCTTTGACAACAAGATATGCAGATGGACTTCCTCCTTTTAATGAAAGGTATTTTATTTTTTTGGACCTCTCGGTCCTCCCATTGAAGGATGTTTTCATGTTGCCTTTTTAGGATGTATTCTTGCCTGTTGAAAATCCACTTTGATTTCATTATTAGAATGCTTTGCCTTTATGTTCAAACACTGGTGTGGGGTGTCTTTTTAGTCTTTCTTTACATTGGCATTAAGCGCTTATATTATCTGCATATATTACAAACTAAGGCAGGATTTCATTTATCAGGAGGCTTGAAGTTAAGCATTAAAATTACCCATGCTTAAATTTCGATGCTTGCTGAACACCTTACTAAATTGAGACTTGTATTTTCTGTAGTCTGTCTAATGTCAGTGCAGTTCATTTTTAAGACCTATATCATTCAAGGTTTATAGTTATGCAGAACTGACAATGTGTGTAGTCTGCTACATGATTTTTCTGACTTGTTATTGAATGAACAGTTTGCATTTTTTTTTTCTTCGTTTAGTTGATATTGTAGAAACGTTCTAGGGTTTTTTTGGAGATGGAAGGGTAGAGAGCTTTTGGGTTTGTTCACCTTCATTTTTATAATAACAATTCTGAGGAATTTTATTTAATTTCTTACACTTTTGGTAACTGTAGAAACTATGTCTTGAGTCTACAGATGTCTTTTTAATAATCTTACTTTAGCTTATTAAATCAGAGTTGTGTATATAATGAACGCATATCTTACAAAGGAGAAATAATAAATTTAAACTTCAGAAAGCATGAGGAAGTATAGAGATTATTCATGATTCTGTTTTTTATGGAAATAAATCTTTGCACAGTAGCATGTATTTGTGGGAAAGATTTGTAACCAAAACATTCTTCTTACAGTCTAGGTTTGTATCAGTGGAGCAATAAAGTCGTTCACAAAGCAGTGAGGTTATGGGACATACGTGGTGGCAAAATGCTGCGCCATGCTGTCTATCTTCTGATAACACCTCGGGTAGTTGTAAGTGTGGATTAACTTAAGCTTTTACTCCTTGTGTGCCAAGGTTACCCTCACATTCTTGAGTCATCAATATTTCTTATTCTTTAAGAAGTAATAACCTAACATTGAATACCCTTTTCCTGAAAGTATGGCCCAAAGACTATGTGGTTAAGACTGTATAATTAGTTGAGAGGTCGTATCCGAAGTAAAGTGGAAAATGGTTGACACAGTATGAAATAAATAAATTGACAGAGAAAAGACCATGAAGGGACTGGGAAGTAAATTATAAAAGGTTAAGCAAAACCAATCAAATAGATTGCTTAATCCTGCTCTTCAGATGTTTTCCTACAGTCTTAGACACCTAGTATTCCCGTTGCCTTAACAGATGAGTGTTGTCACTGCTTTTCTCATTTATAAGTTCATCCTATTTTCTACTTTTCTCTTTAAAAGCATTGTTTTAATCTGTTTCTAATGTGATTGATTACAAAATAATGCAGTTAACATTTTGTCATCTTTAAAAAGAAATTCCTCAAGTATTCTTGGAAATCTTTCTTGCTTCCCACGCCTCTGACTCTTACCCCCTCCTCCCAACAGAACATATGCTTAAGTGTAGTAAATTGGTATTGGAAATAAGTTACAGTGTTAATCATTATTTGGCCACAAATAATCTTTTGGGTTTTTTTTAAATCTAACAGAGTATACAGAGCAAACTCGGTTCAATTACCCCTGTTCTGAAAACTGGCCATGCTGGTCAAACTGTTCAGAGCATTAAAGGCGCTCCTGAGTGGTGCCGCACTGGCAAAGACTGGGCTCCTGACCATAAGACTGCAGCATTGTTGTGATGCCTCTTAAGGTTTTCAAATATTTTGCAGAAAGCACTTCCCCGTGCAAAACTAGTTGACATGTACAGCTTCCTAATAGAAAAGTGGGGTTTTTTCGCTGAAACATTTGACAGAAGCAGGGTTGTAGTGTTCCTACATTGTTCAGGGGTTTTTGTTAGTTGGGGTTTTTTTTTTGTTGTTCTTTTTTTAATATGGTCTTTAGTGTGCATGCTATTCTCAGCTAATTCTGTTGCTGTTTTATTCTTGTAAACTTCCATCATTTATGTCCATGAAATGTTGCGAAGGAGGGGTGAAGGAGTACACCGATGATTTGAAGATGCTGATGTCTAGTATAATGGTTGCTCCCATGGTGTCGTTAGTGGGGTTTATCCTTTCCCATAAAAGAAAGGAAGATTCTTGGTGGGGAAGGCCAAACAGGTTACCCCTTTTATAATACAGGATAAATCCATCTAGCACTGATTTTATATTCTGCTCCACTATTGTCAATAGCTTCCCACACCATTGTTGCTCATGATTTAATTAGTCACTGGTACTGTTCCGATAGGTGGTAGTTTTACCATGATGGGTTGTCCTGGTTTCATTGAAGGCCAGATATACCTGTTATCTAGAGGTTTATCTAAAGAAGCCGTCAAGAAAGCTTGAGTAACTGGGCTTCCATAGGGACCATATCCATTATTCAGCTGGTGTAGGGTTTTTGAGGGGCAGGTGTCCCATTGTCCTTCATGTGGCTTAAGATACCTTTTCAGTAGCCCCGTTCAGCCATACCATTAGACTGTGGGTAGTGTGGAGTGTGGAACACCCATTTTATTCCTTCTTGTTTTGCCCATTCTTGTACTCATTTGTTAGTAAAATGCAAGCCATTATCATAGAGTCAGGAACGGGGCAAAATTGGGGACCATGAGGAAAGGCCTCGGATGGCGTTTTGAATGGTGTTTTGCCCATCGGCCTTTGGTACTTAGTGGCCATTAAAAGTCCAGATACCACTTCTACACCCATCAGAATATATCTGTACCCAGTGGATGATTTTAAAGGACCAATATAATCGATTTGCCAGGTAGACCATAATGTTTTCCCCTCTTTAATGTGCAGAGGTGGTACTTTATCAGGATGGTCAGTTGGCAGTCTGAGTTGGCATTGAGGGCACTCAGTAAGTATGGTTTCACATGCTTTTCTGTCAAGGGGCCAGCCTCGGCTTTGTGCTGCAAAGTAAAGGGCATCCTTTCCACTGTGTCCTAACCTGAGACATAACTGTTCTCCTAGCCAGTACCATTTGGGGTCTATAATGACTTTCCTATTAGTTAGCTCATCCACCTTTTGATTCCACTTTGTAGCTGGTTGGTCATCCTTAGCATGAGCTTTCACCCATCCCATCTTGAAAGGTGTTTTCCTGGCTATGTCTAGCAACAACTGCCAATCTTTGCTTCTCCAAACTGGGGATCTGTTCACTTCCCATTTTAGGGTTTCCCATTCACAGAGCCACTGTGTCGCACCTGCCCAAACAGCGTAAGAGTCCACATATATAGCTTTCACTCAGTTTTGAGCAGCGAGTACAACAGCTCCGAGTTCTCCTACCTGCGCACTACCTTCTCTATCTTCTACTGCCTGCTTGCTAGTGGTGATGTCAAGGGCCGTGGCTCTATATCGCCATTTCCCTTTCATCTTTTGGGCTGAGGCATCTGTGAACCAAATACCCTTGGTTGGCATATTCTTAGTTAAGGGCAGAGCATCTAGAATTGCTGAAGGTTTGAAAGGTTGTTGCAAAGCTGAAGGGTCAGTATTTACAGGTATCTGTAATTTGGAAACTTTGTTGTGTCCTTTGGTTAACTGCATATTCTTAGCAACTCCTGTTAGGTAGGCATACTGTTTTCTCACTGTGGGTTTTTGAGCAATTCCGTCGGGAGGAGCAGTTCCCTTTAAGATTGCCTCTAGGAAATTAAATGGTCCTGTAGTCTGTACAGGCTGTCCCAGATGTATTTTCTCCACCTGTTTCCCAGCTCTAACTAAGGGTAAAAGCCCTTTCTCCCATTCAGAGTATTGTTGTTATGTCTCTTTAAATGCGGTTGAACTAAATGGTAAAGGTCCTTTCAGGCCATTAGGACCAGTCTGAAACAGGTTACAATAAGTTGTATGTTCAGCAAATCCCCATTCTGCAATGATAGGATCAGAGGGGTGTACAGTCCAAGGGATTGGTGTGTTTGCAGTTCATTCATTAAGGTTTTCATAGCTTTGTTATGCTCTTCTGTCCATTCCCATACCTTTCCTTTCTGTAGGAGGGAGTAGAGGGGTCTGACTATAATTGAGAATCCAGGTATGTGTTTCCTCCAGTATCCTAATGTTTGTTGGAGTTCCTTTTTGGATTGGGGAGGCTGTAAAGCTTCTGTCTTTTCCAAGGTATCAGGTGGAATTGAAGCACTACCAGCGATCCAGCAGGTTGCTAGAAATTTCACTTCTTGGGTGAGTCCCTGGCACTTGTCTACTGGTATGACTACTCCAGCATTATTTAAGGTTTCCCTTACAGAGGCGGCTGCTGTTCTTACTGCCTCTGGGGAATCGCCCCCAATCAAAATGTTATCTCTGTATTGGTACAGACAGGTTTCTGGTGGAATTGATACTTGCTGTAAAAGTTCTGCTAATGTTCCATGAGCAATAGTAGGGCAGTGTTTGTAGCCTTGGGGAAACCTGTTAAAGGTATACTGTACTCCTTCCCAAGTAAATGCAAAATGGGGTTTATCCTGTTCTTGCAAGGGGACCATAAAGAACATATCCTTGGTATCTAAAACAGCCATCCATTTATAGGCAGCTGCTTGTAAAGTGGTAGTTAAGTTTGCAATATTAGGAACTGCTGCTGTTAAGGGTGCAGCATTGGCATTAAGATGCCGATAATCAATCGTAAGGCACCATCGACCATCTGGTTTATGAACAGGCCATACAGGAGAATTACATGGAGAATGGGTCCTAAAAATAATTTGCCAAGACTCCAAGTCCACAATAACAGCTGAAATTCCATCTTTGGCAGCAGCCGACACCAAATACTGGGGAACATTAGTGAGACTGGAGTTGGGGAGTGCAGGTGCCGCTTGCAAAAGGCGGATGTCGGCAGATTCCACCCCAAGACTTCCAGATCAGAATGGCCATATACTACCATTTGGTAGCTGCCAGGTTCGTCCCATTAAAACATCGAACCCCAATACGTTTTCATAGTGATCTTTTACTGCAAAGGAAACTGAGGTTATTTGGTTTTTGCCGGGAAGCCAAATTTTTTCTTTAACGGTGGGCCATAGTTCGCTGCCACCATTAATGCCAGTTAATTTAACTTTAGGTCGGCCTGGTCATAATCCTCAGGTGATCACATCAGTTTGGGTAAGTGCAGATATTTGTGCTCCTGTATCTATTAGGAATTTTGCTGGTTTTTGGTGAGGACCTACAGGGAGCATAATGTAAGGGCCATCATCGCTTATCCATTGATGAATATCGATTTTCCAGACAAGCAGGCCCAATAGTCATCTGGGGTTTACCTGTTTTTTGGTTCGTGTTTCTGTGATTCCTTTAACTCCCTTCTCAGAGGGGAAAAAGGATTAGGAGGTCAAGTGGAAGCTGGTTGTGGGGGAACAGTAGCAGATGACAGTGCTATGTCTCGCTTTTGAAAAGCTTCTATCAAGCTTAGCATAACTCTAGCTGGTTGTCTATGAATAGCAACTCTGGAAATACCCATTGCCAGGGCTTGTTTCCATAATTCATTTCTCTCTTCCCGGGCCCTCGTTTGTTGATTAATGGGTCCTGATTCTTAAGAGTCACTCTAAGGTGTTTGCTTAACCTGTCTAACATTTCGACCTATATTTTTTGTTCCACTGGACACATCATCCCATCCCATTTCTGGCCCATGATTTATGATCTCATGCGTTAATCCTGCCCAAGTGGGGAGGTTTCTTTGAAGTAAGGTTGCTTCCTGGTCATCTTTATCACCGACAACATCCCTTATGGCTAACAGAGCATTAAAATCTGTGTCCCTCTTGATCTCATCTTGTTTTGCAATAAGATAAAGTTTGAGCATGGCAGGGGCTCCCTTTATGAATGTCTTTAGCATAGCGTGGTCTACAGTTGCCAAGATGGGAACGTCAAGGGAACTTCCCTTGCCTGGGAAGATCATGGAGCAGATCCTCCTAGAAGATATG